AGTCTAAAGGCTTAAAACATTCACACGGAATGCCAGAGATCCGGGTTTGACTGGTTCGACTTTTCGCAATATAAATTAATTATTTATAGATTTTTAATATGTCATTCATAGATTATAATATTTTCAACGTTATTAACATCCAAAATACTATGAGCATCAAAAATTGTTAAATTGTTAGTTAATTTAATTCGTGATAGTATTGTAGTAGTTTATTAGAGTTTGTGTTGTAAGTCTGAAAAAAATTTCGGTGCGTCTTTAAGAATCTATAATACATACGTATATAGTATACATAAATTCACACGAAATTATAAATTAGAAGCATTCAAAATCTAGTTTGACCATTACGGCATGTTCTCATCGGTACATAGAATTAAAATTTATATTTTTTAAGTGTAAAATAGTATTATATATATATATATGGACTACACACACAAATAACTATATATATATACACATACATATATATACATATATATACATATATTTGTGTGCGTAGTTCATATTTTAGGTTTTATAATTCCTTATTGCGCATCTTGTTCTGCAGCTTGCTCTGCACCATGTTCCATCATTTCTTTAACTATTTTTCTAGCCAATTTTTTAGCCATTCTTTGAGCCATTTTCCTCATCGCTTTTGATTTCTTAATATGAAAAGTTTATCCATTAATAATAATCTATTATCAAGTATAATTATTTAAATGTACAACATTATTTACTAAATATATTGTTGGAGAACTTACTGCAATTCTGCGCGCTATCGAACCCTATAAAAAAAGAAATAATTCCGTTTATATAACAAATAAAAAAATATACTCCAAATGTTTCTCCGATTAATATTTAAAAGAAACTTATAAAAATAAAATCTTAAAAAAAATACGAAAGAAAGAAAGAGAGAAAATTTTTCATATTTTGCTAAATTAAAAAAAATTCTAACTACAATATTACAGAATTTAATTATAAAAATTGCTTACGAAAGAACCAGATGAATCGGCTTCACCTATTGCGTCGGCTTCACCGATTGCGTCGGCTTCAGAAAGAGCTATTGATTCTGCTTCGGAAACATCGATAATCACCATAACAAAGATTATGGCAAGAACTAACAATAGATATGTTAGCCGCATTTTTTAATATTTATTAAATTTCAAGATACGTTCACCTGTGCGTATATTTCTGATTTCTCGGCGACGTGTAGAGCTTATATAGCACAAGAAATGTGATCTAAATATTATTTTCGTGTTTAATACGGAAGTACTTATATTTTACATTGCTATTTATAAATGTTTAATATATATATATATATATATATATATATATATTACATGCACAATCATAACATTTTTATCTTACGTGACAAAAATATGAAATATTAAAATATAAAATTACAGATATAAAATTATTAAACTGTAGAGTATGATGTACTGTGTATATAAATAGATACATTATATCAGAGAATGGATGTAACTCATTACTTGTAACAAAGTTACAACAATAAATTACTTTTTGGGTAACTTTACTAGTAACTGCATTACTTTCCTTTTTTGTGATAACTCGGTTTTTTTTTATATCAGTCGTAACGTAGTTATATTTTTTTTGGTAACGATAACGAATTTTATATTTACTTTTATCGTTACTTAACACACGCGATTGGATACGGTTTTGGGAATTATTTTACATTTTTACGTAATATATCGGATAGATACCTCAGTTTGCTGCATATTTTACATATTTTAAAATTATAAAACTAAAAAAAGTTAACATTATTACTTTTAGAAGATAAAATCATGTCGACTGTGTTTCGAGTAGATAAATGTTTTGAGCTTGCTTCTTCAACGACTTTATACTACGTATATATTTTACACCTGGATAGTGTTATTTTGTTGCATACAATTTTAATGTTCGGTGATTGAAAATTTAGTGAGAGATGAGACATTATAGATTTAATTGTCAAATTTAACTCAATTCGAACGGTTTTTCAATTAAATTTAACCGAATTCAATTCAATTTAATTTAATTTGGATTGAAACCAATTGAATCCAAAAAAAGTTTTCCCTATTTAAAATACGCATTCAGAGAGATAAAATTTCAATCTATTTTAATCCATGTCGTTTACCGGGAACATATTTGGAAAATTATTGTTTTATCTTTTTCTAACATTTTTTATTTGTTGTACATTCAACATGAGAATCTTTAAAAAAGTAGTAGATCTACATAATCTTAATGTATATATTTAAATTATGTATAATTCTAGTAGCACAATTTATTGTATAATATTAGTCCTTGATTGGTTCAATATAGCTTCAATGTTTAATCAAGTATATTGTTAATAAATTGCTAATAGGAGATACATACATATTCTCTTCATTATTAAAAAAAATATATAATATAAAATAGTATAAATATAAAGAGTGCGAAGAGTCAAGTAATTTAAAGAACAACTTTAATTCAAATAATCATGATATGAACATTACAAAAACAAACGTTTTGACTTCGGGTTTATTTTCAGTATTACATAAAATATAAAGTACAGACTTATTATAAGTTAAATTTATACAGTCTTGATTAAATTAAATCGAAAAGTTTTGGCATTCATTTTTCTAATTAATACGGATAAAATTATCAGTTTTTTTATCTATCTTTGCTCGTTTATTTGATATTGTTTATAATGATTAATCTTGATGAGATAATATACTCGTGTAATTATCTTATAAAGTTAAATTATAATAATTTGGAATATTAGAAACGTAATAATATGCTTAATAAAGCGCAAACAGATGTTTTTATAAAAAAAATGATAATTTTTATTTTAAATAAGTTTTCAAAGCTTATTTTATGTTTCTTATACCAGTCAACAGTCGGGAGTATTTAAAATAATTTTATTATTTAAAATATATATTTCAAATATGTATATATGTATTTAATATGAAGTGAGGGGTACAGCGGAAAGCGGGGGCGATTCGAAAATCGGCCAAAAGTTACGTACACTTTACGTATGTTCACTTTGTACTGGCAACTTTAATTAATAATCAGTTACTTTTCGTGGTAATGTATTAACAATTTAACTCGTGATAGTGCTGCGATAGTTTTAAATATACGTCATATCGGTCAGCAGTCGGTAGTGTGTATTTAAAATAATAATTTTATTTAATATATGTATTTAAATGATGACTGCACGGTTTATCGGTGAGCCAGGCGATAGGCAATAGGATTTATGGAATGTTTACACCGGATTTTCTCTATTCCGCTGAAAAAAGAGAATTGAAATCAGTCGAAACTAATCCGTTTACACCCAAGAAATTTCACTTCACTTCAAAGTGAATCGAGATTGGACGGCTGGGTGTAAACTAGGTCAATGAGAATACAAGAAAAAGTACAATGTTTTGTAAAAAAAAACATAATATTGATGTTGCATACTTGTTTATTTGCTATCCCGTATATAATAGGAATAAACAATAGGAATATATATAAATATAATTAACATTTTTGTTTAGAAATATTTATGATATTATTTGTCCTACATTTTTACTACAATTTTTTAATTGTGCGTTCCTTATTTAATTTTTTTAAAAATCTTATTTTACAAAAAATGCAGCTACTTCTTTCCCTTAAATGAAAGACACGTTTTCATTAATACATGTACCTGTATAATGATAATTCTTTGTCCATATACTTACAATAGTCATTGCAGAGTTGAATTCCAACTTAAACTAAAGAAGAAAATGATCCGTTTGTATATAAAAAAAGTTCTGCTATAGAATAAGATTTTATAAAATGGTTAATGCTTACAATATCCATTGCGCCTTGTGAATCAGCCTTACCGACTGCATTAGCTCTAGGAAAGGCTTCCACTTCGAATGCGTGCATGATCATCATAACAAAAATGATAGTAAAAGCTATCGATAAATAAAGCAATCGCATCTTGTATTACTTACTTAAAGTTATTAATCTGTACATTTATGTGATTTATTGCAAACGCATGTTTCTTATATAGCCCAAGAAATGCAATTTAGATATTGTTTTCTAATCTAACAGATACCTATATTTTTTTATATTATATTTCACACATTTAATGTATATATATATAAATATCATATTCTAAATCATGAAAATATTTTTATTGTATGCACAAAACATATAATGTTCAAGAAACATAAAAAAAATTATCAATCTGAAATAACCCCGATGATAATGATTAATACGTAAAATATGACTCATTGTCAAATATATAATACACGTGTTAGTTTTAAATAAAGTATACAAGCAATGGAAAAACTGTTTTACTACAATATTTTCTGAAGATAAAGTTGTGTCCTTTAAGTCAAAATGTCTGACCGAGTAGATAGATATGTATTTGCTTTTAATACTGACTTACTATATGTTCTGTCGATTTATAGCGTCATTTCGTTTTATGTAATTTTAACGGATAAAAATAAAGATTAGAGGAACCACGTGCACTAACAGTAACCTTGATCTACGTTGTTATGACTCAAGTATTTTTAAAATATGAAGTTTTTGTTTAATTTTCTCTCGCCTTAGTAAAATTTAAATGCAATTGTTTTTTATAATTATTTAGTGATTATCAATCAATGTAATAAATTCTTAACCAATTAAAAATATATATCGAAGTGTTTTTATAAAGCATCATTTTTCCAATAATATCTCTTTAATATTATTTAGTTTCTCAAATATATACGTCCGTTACATAGCATTTTATTTTTTGTTAATTTAAAAATATGATTTGTATATTACTGTTATCTCAAATTGAAGTGAGAAACATGATTGATTTATACAACGAAAAAATGAAACGTATTTACTATTAAAAAATTTGTAATATTAAGTGCAATATTTAGCATATATTATCTGTGTAGATAGTAACTGTTTGTAATGGTCCTGTAAATGTGAAATCTACAGCATGACGCTCGAAATACGACGACTTTGAGGTCACAACACTACCATCGTTCATCGACAGTCGAGCAAATAGATATAGATAACAACGCGAACACCGTGTACTAAAACAATTTATAAACGATTAGAGATTGTTGATTAATTAATTAATTACCTTTTCCAATCAACGATTTATATATCTAACATAATAAGCAATGCGTACTTATCATAGCGGTTATTCCACATTAAATAATATCTACTTATTATATTGAAATTGATGTGTGATTGAGAGTTAAAAATTATCGTTTTGTTGGAACGTTTATTATACTTACATTGTATTTATTTACATTATAAATGTTTAAGATTTTTTTTCTATATATCACACTATTTATTAATAATAATATTTCGTTGGAATACATAACGCATTTTAATATCGGTGGTGGAAAACTTCGTGCGATCATCGAGTTCGATACCGACAGTGTTGTAGAAGGTTTCGCATGATGGTAACATTCAATACTGACAATACTGCGAAAATTTTCGCACAACCATCACATTTAGTAATCAACTTATACCTAACTATAAATAACTGTAAGTACAGCAAAAAAAGGGATAGTACTCCGAAAATTTCCAAATAAGCAAACTAATTTCAAACAATTCGCTTATTTAAAAATCTAATAACGGAAAAGCTATAACAGCAAAAAATTGTAACCAATCACACACTTATTATACCCATTCCACACTTTTAACGTAAGCAATGTCACGAATCGTTCATATCTCGAATATCATAGCTCTTATGTGGCAAAATCGCTGCCAATAAATAAATGATTCGTTGCGTCGCATTTTTCGAGAGTGCCGTACAAATTGTCGCACGATCTTAATAATTAGCATATATAATCGTGTTTTTCCATGTTCGCGAATTGTGGATTAATTCGCGTTTCAATTAAGTAAACCGTATAAAATCGCACAATTTTAATTATTAGTATATAATAGCGTCACACATAATTTTTATATGTTTTTAGACGTGATAAATTGTCTCGAGTACATCGAATACATGATCATCGGCGAATGACGATCGCAGACTGGTTTGACCACGAAAAATATCAGACTCATGGTTTTATATATAGCTTGGAGGTTCCACCATACAACTTGAGGATTTATCACCAACAAAGAAACAAATTAGTTTCCTCTCGACAATTGTAATATAGCGTTCGCTAGTACATTCAAATGCGTAGTCAACTACAACATACCGAAAATATTTTCATATACAATTCATTTTTATATCTGTAACTTAATATGCTAAATCCGACATGCAGATCATTTTTATATATTTGCTCTAATAAATTAATCAATCTATGTTTTTATTAATTTTGAGCATTGCTCTTATAAAAATAAAAGGTATGTATTTCTTTTTATCTAATGTAGTAATATCAATATAATATTTATAACTTATACATGAGGGATTTTTTCACATATATATATGTATATATATATATATAATATATAATGTAAATTTATTAACGTGCAGGCTATTTTGCATAAATGCAAATAAATAAATATGAATAATCAAAAAGTTTTTCCGTATTTGTTCTAAATACGTCCTCTCCAGAAAATGCTACTATCAAGTTAAAAAAGGGGTTCTTGATATTACATTCAGGATAAGCGCAAGCATGATACGTTTACATTTTCTTTTGACTTTATAGCAAAAATTACTTCAAAAGTTTAGCGGAGTTTTAGATAGAACGTGAAATACATATAGCTACACATATATATGTATATATGTATCTTTTATGGCTAATTTCTTCACTTGCAGATAAGTTAAGGATAGCTTTATCCAGAAGATATCTCCATTGTATTCTAGGAGATATCTCCTGGATAAAGATTATCTACAGGTAAAAAAAATTAGGGATAGCCTTAACCAGATCATAAAAATTTAAATAGAATTTTTACGCGTTATAATGACTTCCTTTATTTATATTAGATCTCGTTTACATGAGAAGAAATACATATATGATATTAGTATTTACAAGTTTAAAACAAATATCTTTTCAAATTCTTTCTTACATATTCCTAATATAAAACATATTCATAATATAAAAATATATTTTAATAAATTTGATCCCTTTACGGAAAAAAATTAATCAAAATACAGGATGATACTTTTTGTCTTAAACTTGAATATAATACATATAATATATATTCCCTTTTCTTTTTCTCCGTCAACGAGATCAAAAATTTAGAAGGAAGTGTTCCTTCTAAAGGTGTGAGAATTTTATTACAGAAGGAAAAATATATAGGTACATATATAGGGTAATCTACATCATATTTTACATACATGTATATATATGTGTGTCTGTGTGTTGTATTTACATTTCTATAAAAATAAAAGGTAAAAACTGTCATATAATTTTACTCACGGCTTTGTGAAACATGCAGGCTTGCTTATCTTCATCTTCGCCTGCGGGACAGTTTCTAACTCCATCGCACAGAACATCATTTCCAATGCAATAATATCTACCCCTTTCATCCGTGGTCGGGCAAACTAATTGTTCCGTTCCGTCTTCGGTTATTGGACAGACTGTAAACAGAATTGCAAACATTTTTCTTCAATCTATTTATATAAATATATATATATAGGTGCTGTACCTAGATAAAAGTATATAGATATTTTTTGCATAAAAACATTAACGTTATTTGATATTTCGGCCAAATCGGAAAAATCTTGCATAAGAGGTCATAGAATCGATAAAAAACGCGAGAGAAATATTATCGTTCCAACAGAAACATGTTCGGATTTTCATTTGAAATTTATAATATTGCAATTTGTGTTTTTGTTATTTAAATTCTTTATCCAAATTATGTAAAATAAATGAACTAATGAAAACTGATTTCATAAAGTTGTGAATTTTTAACGTATTTGAAGTCACAGAATTTTCCTTCACTATCTTCATTTGCAATTTTCAATATATCTTTAGCTATTACTTTTCATTTTTGCAAGAAGCAACATAAATTTAAAGTAAATAAATTAGTTCCTCAGAATTAAAAAATATTTTATATCAATTCGTCTCTATTCGACATTCGGTTCTTCTTATTTAGATTAGATTAGATCGTGATTAGAATATTAGGAATAGAGATAAGGGCGAAAAATAATCAAATAAGTAATTAAAATCCTCTCTCATTTTTTACATCATTACATAATCTAATTTTTATAAAAATAAAACTTTTTAAGTTTATTTTAATCCATAAACTTCTTGCAAAAAAAAATAATAGAAATGGGGAGAGAGAGAGAGAATTATATATTTTAATGAATTAAAATACGTTTTTTATGTATATAAAAAAAAGTTTACCAATGTTGTTATTAGAAAAGGAACCTAAACTAGTTATATGAAAAAGTGAATTTGCTGTAACTATAATATTTTATAGCTTTGAGAGATACTGATTAAAAGTCCTACGATTATACACGATTAATATTTATAATATTATAAAATATTGGACCGATCTTACCAACTACATTGGCTTCCACTTTGGATAAACGCATAATTGCTATAACAGAGATTACGGCAAGACTCAACAATAAGTATGACAGTTGCATTTTTTAATGTTTATTAAAGTTCACATGTCTATAGCGACACGTAGCACCTATGTAACACAAAAGAAACTAATTTCGAAATGGTTTTTATCAATCTAAATACTTATATATTCTATATTTAAAACGTATATACATAAATATTATACCAAAAGTCATAAAAATTTTATCTTACGCAGGAAATTGTATAATGTTAGAAATAGTAAAAGAAGGATTACAAATAATGATACAAATAAACTGAAATAAATCTAATAAAATCTGTTAATCACGATTGACAGTTAAAAATATGACTTATACATGTGATACAACTATAAAAACAGCATTGCTACTTCCAGAAAATAAAAGCGATATTTAAGTCAGATAGAATGCGTTCCAAGTAAATAATAGATGCTTTGATGCGCTTGCTTTTTGCTAGCGACTTATTAAATAAATCTTTATATTTCAAATATATAGTTATACGAATAATCGCACATATTAATTGAATATTTTAATAAGTTGAAATGTCTATAGTAGTTCTGTTATTTTATTAAAGCTTCTTTCTGTTTTAGTATTAGATTTATTATACTGATTATACTTATTATAATGATTTTATCAAAATTAGCATTTAGGGGTGCCAACTACACAGAGCTGCTCTGTGAAATCGGTACCCCTAAATGCGAATATTGGTAAAATAATTATTGCATTCATTTGTCCACTGTTTGTCCACGTTTGTCCAACCGTTATTTTCATTTGTCCACCCTCCAAAAAAAAATTGTGAATAAAAAAAGATTGTAACACCCCCAAGTGATTATTTTTCAAGTTCGTATTGATTGCTTGAGAATTCATTTTACTAAATTAATGATTTTTTCGAAAAAATATGAATGAAAAATATCAAAAAAAAACGAAGAACAACTGAATAAGATTAAAAGAAGACGAAAATCATTATCTTCATGACTATTTCAAGAAGCGGGGAAAAATAAAAAAATAAAAAAATACGAAAATCAATAATTTAAAATGAAGACAGTTAATTAAAGCTAACGGAAAAAAAGGAAAAAACAAATAATAATCTCATAAATTAGACAAATCCGGAAAAAAATTTTAAGGATGTATAAATGCTTAAATTTTTTAAAAAATTAAGTAAAGAGAGAACCTACGTTGTAATTTTAGGGGGATTAACAAACCAGTTTGGTCTTTTCCAGATTTGTTTG